ATGCTTTGTATTGGTTTCCACTCGACATAAACATGCCACCAATAGAACCCAACACATGACCAGTAGAGTCCCACAAGGACCATTATAGTTTCCATTAAAACCAATTCCTATAACCATTAAGACCATTAGAATTTCTGTAATGGTTTGTACTGGGATGTCTTTTTTCCCCCTCAGCAGGGGTCATTCCGTATCGTCTTTCTCAGACGAGGTCCTCGAAACGCCTCAGCGCACTCCAAGCTGGATTTTTATTCCTTTTAAAACGCCTCTTCGCTTTTTAACAGCGCTGTATCGTTGTTGTTTGACGGCCTGCTCGAAAGCACTTTCCCACCGATACGGACGTTCCAGACGTGCGTTTTCCGAACGTTTAACTCGCTCTTTTTTCTTCTGGATTTTCATGCCTCTCTTTCTTCAACTCATAACTCGTACCCCTCCCGAGCACTCCACAGCCTGGCTGATTGACGAGCGAGTCCGAAAGTCTTAAAAGAGGAGCTGGGCCTCTGAGGGAGGGAAGGAGAAGAGAAACGGTCGCGCGGCGACTGTCCCGGAGCAAACGGCCGATCCGGACAGTTAATAAGCTGCCTGGGTAATCATGGAGGGCAGATAAAAGGGTGACTGCAGCAAAGGCTCGCGGCGTGTTTATTACAGGCTCGGTGTGTTTTATGGCTCTGTCGATGTTCCCTAGCTACATTTCCGTCCTCCGTCCTTCTCGCCGCTCGTCGTACGGAGAGAGTTACGGAACGTTTAGGACCGAAAATCTGGACTTGTTTAAACAAGAATACAAATACACGATAGGCGAGAACGCCGTATGAGGACTTGTTCTGAGAATGCTTTTCCCATAACCTTTAGAAAACATTCCGACAACATGGTTGCAACGTTTATTCGTCACGTCATCACCGTTCTGGTTCTGGAATGTGAACGTTTGACGGCTTCGTGTAGTCTATAAACAGGAAGTGGTGTTGAGTGTAGAGGAAGCGGTTGGCACGGAGGTAGCGTCCCTGGTGGAGGGGACAGACAGAGACAGTTAGCAGATTTAGCGTGCGGCGTGTTGCGTTTATTAACGGACATAGGAACACCGGAGGCTTTTTTTTTTTTTACGTTTCGTTAAGACACAGCACGTAGCTCCGCCCACTGCTGAGGTTAAAAGGTGATTCTGATTCAAGATGGCCGCTATGAGTGTTTTTAGCTCTGTCCTTTTGTCTGTGTTTAGGTCATGTGTGTGTGTGTGTGTGTGTGTGTGTGATAAATGCCTCGCCTGAGGACCTTCAAATGCTCAATTATATCTTGGAGATGGTAACTTAAGTGCAGCTGTGGGGATATTGGATCAGACACACATGGTTATGAAAGGACACACACACACACACACACACACACACACACACACTGTCATGGACACACACAACGACTCTTTCCGTCTCTATTCTCTCAGACATAAACTGAAAGTCATACAGACCTCCTAGTACCCCCCCCCCCCCCACTCCCACACACACACACACACACAACACACACAGTTCTGACAGCATCTCCTGCCCTCCGGCTGGCCAAGGTGACAGACACTGTTGCTCTCCTCGGGACAGATCACTCACTCTCATCGATAGGGCAACAGGGTCAGTGTGTGTGTGTGTGTGTGTGTGTGTGTGTGTTTGTGTGTGTGTGTGTGATGGGGTGAGGAAGTGGGCAGACTGGGTGGTCTGAGCCATCAGTTCAGTGTCCAGACGTTTTACTTACTTACACACACACACACACACACACACACCCCAGGTTAAGACCATTTTGACCTACAGATCGTTTGATCATTTTATATACAGTCAATAGAGTGTATATACAGTCAGGTCCAGAAATATTGGCACCCTTAAATGTTTATTTTATGCACTCCATTGTATAAAACAAACATGATTTCAAATTGACACTTAAACAGTACAGGAACTACTAAACGTTTCTTGAATACATATTTCTCTCGTAAAAACAATTTATTTATTTATTTATTTTTTTTTTTAAAGTGTTTGCAAAACTATTGACACTCCGGAACAATCTTTCAAATGGAAACAAATTGGCATCCGTTAAAAATCGATCATTTCTTTTCCGCTTGCTCACATTCAAAAAAAAAAGAAAGAAAAAAGGGCTTGAACGCATCGATTCCGAGACCAGGACTAGCCAAAATAACCAAATGATGACGGCAAATATGTATATGATGGGGTGCCAATAATTTGTGTGTGGGAGTGTGTGCGCACGCACAAAGAAGGGACACCCATTTCAGTCGTCAGCAGAAGTTTGTTTAGAGGACACCGTGACTCATCTCACACACACACACACACACACACACACACACACACACACTCTCCAAGGGTGAAGAGGCTGAAGCCTAATAAAGCCTCCTGAAGCTCAGCAGCGTCTGGGAGCTTTATCTGCTTTAGTGTGAGAGGCAGAAGCTCAGCGATGGAACTCACTTCAACTCACAGACGTGTTTTCCGGGGGTTAATTAGCCCAGGTGGAGCGATCAAAAAAAAAGAATAAAAGAACAGATTGTCTTTTCTTCTTCGGCAGTGCCCCTGTTATAATCACATCAAGCACAGAAAGAAAGCGTGTAATATTATTTATAGCACAACACTTGAATTCTGGACTCTGATTACCAGCAGCTCTGACAGTAGAGAGGCTACAAGTCACAGGTTTATATCAATGACCTCATTCTAATACCTCATCGTTACTATAGTAACTGGGGGGCTGAAGATAGAATCCTCTGGAGACCAGAACTAGCTGGAAGACCTCCAAGTGGGTGTGGCTAGTGAGCTTAGAGTTGTAAATAACGCTGACTAGCTTATTCAATATCAAGCTAATGCTACTGGTCAAGCACTAGTTAAGCACCTCCCACTTGTTGGTATCTACTCACCTGCAGTGTAAGCACCTCCCACTTGTTGGTATCCACCCACCTGAAATGTAAGCACCTCCCACTTGCAGTGTAAGCACCTCCTACTTGTTATCCACCCACCTGCAGTGTAAGCACCTTCCACTTGTTGGTATCCACAACTTGCATTGTAAGTGGCTCCCAATTATTGGCACCCTCCCCCTTGGTTTTCCACCCACCTCCAGTATAAGCACCTCCCACTTGTTGGTATCCACCCACCTGAAATGTAAGCACCTCCCACTTGTTGGTATCCACTCACTTGCAGTGTAAGCACCTCCTACTTGTTATCCACCCACTTGCAGTGTAAGCACCTCCCACTTGGTTTTCCACCCACCTCCAGTATAAGCACCTCCCACTTGTTGGTATCCACCCACTTCCAGTATAAGCACCTCCCACTTGTTGGTATCCACCCACTTCCAGTATAAGCACCTCCCACTAGTTGGTATCCACCCACTTCCAGTATAAGCACTTATATTAAACATTCTTATATTCACATTTAATATGTTAATGTCATTAACATTAACATAACCATTTTAATTTCATTTATTTCATGAAATTTCTGACACTCATTTCACCGGTGATGTTCTTGTTTGCACAATGTATCTTGCAGATCTTAATTAAAGACGGTTCTTTGGATGTTTAATACTTTCCTCTTTTCTTTTTTTTTTCTTTTTTAAAAAGACAGATTCTACTTCTAACCTTTTCTAAAGGGGAAGCCATAAATTGTCTGCTTCTACGTTTCATAATTGTCCATTTCATCCTCCATAAATCCTTAATATCACTTTAGAATAGTCGTATCTGAAAGGCATGGCACTTAAACGCCCCAGTCTCGATCCGTCCGAGATACTTCGCTCCCTCGAACAACACTTATAACGCCATTTTAGATATAAAAAACGACCAGGAAACGGCGCGTAATCGCTGAGCGTCGGCACCGTTTCATCCGTGTTAATGAAAAGACAAAATTAGCTGGCTAATTCTGCTCATCTGACTGGATTTTATCGGTGTTTGCTGAGAATTTATGGAAAATGAAGCCCCCACGAAGCCAAAGCGCTGGAGTCTCACACACATCTGATAACGCGCAGCTGTGTGTGCTGGAGAATCGGGCCGGCCTTGCAGTTAGACGCAAAAATAAAGAAATAAAAACGCTTGGATGGTGTGCCATAATTTATAACAGTCACAAATTCCACGCAAAGGCAACGGTGAATGCGAATGCCAGGTGTTCGGTTGCGTGTCTGCTACAAAATGTGCTACGATTACTAAATAATTTGCAATCAAGCACGCATTTCAGAGTCTTGCATCCCACCGCACGTTTCCCTTTTCGTTGTTCTAAAACATCTGATTCACGACTTATTAGCTCATTATTAAGCCCTGAATATGGGCTGGGGAAATAAATAAATAAATAAATAAATGAATGAATGAATAAATAAATAAGTAGCGCTTATGGAAATCGGATTGAAACACGACTGAATGATTCTTGGCAGGTGAACGTACACTATCTGTATTTACCTTAAGAAAGCGTCCCTGTATGCTACTAATTAGGACTCGTTATGTTCCCCAGTCTGCAGACCTTTAATTAAACAAAAAAAATTGGCGTAATTAGGGATTATTGGTTCTAGGTCTATTAGAGCCTATTATGAAAGAATCTATGAGGTGATGTGTGACGCTTCTCGAGCTTGGAAATGCTGAGGCAAGCCAAAAGAAAGAGCTGGCTCATTCACAAGAAAAAAAATAAATAAATAAAAACGGGCCAGACGGATTTATAATAAGCCTTCTTCGTGTTGTTTAAGTGAGGATTTAAAACATCCGGTGTTGCGCTGTTGTGGGAAAATAATCAGTAACGACGCAAACTTTTACCGCAGTTATTTTTTTATGTAATTGCATGAAGGGCTTTATTCAAGAAAAAAAAAAAAAAAAAAGAATAAAAGAAAAAAAAAAAAAAAAGTGAAAAAAAAGAAAAAAAAAACAAAAAAAAAAAAAAAAAAAAAAAAAAAAAAAAACTTAGCTAATAAAATTTTTTGCACGCACGAGCGGCGTTTTTTTTAAATAGTGTCTTCTCCTTTTTTTGTGTTTAAAAGGGGGGCGAAAAGAAAAAAATTGGGTGGCACGGTGGCTTAGTGGTCAGCACGTTCGCCTCCAGGGTCCGGGGTTCGAATCCCCGATTGTGCGGAGTTTGGATGTTCTCCCCGTGCTGCGGGGGGTTCCTCCGAGGACTCCGGTTTCCTCCCCCAGTCCAAACACATGCATGGTAGTCTGATGGGCGTGTCTAAAGTGTCCGTAGTGTGTGAGATTGTGCCCTGCGATGGACTGGCACCCTGTCCCAGGGTGTACCCCACCTGGTGTCCAATGCTCCCTGGGATAGACTCCAGGTTCCCCCGTGACCCTGAAGCAGGAATAAGCGGTTGAAGATGGATGGATGGATGGATGGATGGATAAAAACTTAGGACTTACGTTATGGCAAGATATAAAAGAGTCATAGCATGACGTCGCATCTCGTCACGTTCCTGAGAAAGCACAAAGCGGAACCTCGTGGAACCCTATTAGGAAGCGAAGATCCCTTAACTAGCGAGGAATCCTTTCGAAGGGTTCTTTTGAGCTCCATCATCGGAAACCTTTTCTGAAAAGAAAGCAATTTGTCGGAGGGATCCATCTAGTAGGGTTCTCTCAGAGGAACAACAACAACCATTCTGGATGATGTTGAATGGTTATACATGCTGATGAGGTCATTCTAGTACAGGAGCATACCAGAACGTCAGCCCCATAAAGGTTCGAATACTCAACTATTCACAACCCCATTTTCCTGGAAATGACTTCACTCCACTAGGAACATGATCGTCGTGGAGAACACCTGGGAAGCAGGATTTAATTAGCAGCATCAGGTGTGTCATTAATTGGTCGGCCCATCTCAGTCTCATAGCGAAGCCTCGTCTATCCTGTTTGATGTCACCGCTCATTTCTCGTTGCTGGAAGTTCATGTAGTTGTTTACCGAGCCATCTCTGCTTCAGTTCTCCTGTAATTAGCTTCTGTAGTATCGATCGGTGGAAAAGTGCACGCGGTTCAAATTGAAATAAATAAATAAATCAAATCAACGGAACCTCGGACGGAAAGAGAGAAGGCACAGAAACGTAGGGATTACACCTTGCTTCCTCAGTTCAACCGAGTGACGTTTCAGGACACATACATCTCGCTGACAGTATAATTGTTCCGAGGCGCTAGCGGGCAATTTCCGCCGAGCCTGAACAAGAATAATGCCCGTGTCGGCCAAAACGGAAAGCGGGGGAGGCAGGTTCCCAGCGTGAAAGTGAGTTTAATTTCAGATCCGTATCAGCAAGCCGTTGGACGAGAGGTGGTAATAACCTCTTCTCTCACACACACCGAAGATAAAACGGACACAGCGTTTAAGAGACGATATCTAGATTGACCTCAACCTTTAAAACTGGCGCGGATAACCGAGGTGCCGAAGAGTCCATCGTGGTGGAGGAACTTCTTACTTTCTTTATTTATTTCTGTATTTATTTACTCTTAAAACGGAAGGGTTTCAAGGAAAACGTACACTACTTTACATCCATCTCTAACCAAGACACGTTCCGCCATGACGGTTGGATACACCAGCGTCAGATCGGAATTAACCAGTGTAAACCCGTATGGGATTTTAATACTGCTGATAAAAATAAAAAAAAGTTGATGTTTTTCCTTATTGGAACCAACACAATTGCTCCACTATATTATTATGTTTTACTGTCATTGTGGAGAAGAAGAGCAAGAGCAATTCACACACACACACACACACGCCAATGATCACAGGCTGTGTAAGCAATAATCGAAGCTAATGTCCCTCGTCTCCTCTGTATAAACATACTTTGATTATCCGACACGGTCATGCGCCCTGCCCCGCAAACAGCTCTGATTTATCGACCAATTCATCAGCCAAAGCCGGGCTGAAAACATTAGGTTAACGACAGTAGAGACCTCTGAATGCGCTGACTTTGACTTCACATCTAGATTCGTCTGGTAGATAGAACATTTATTAAGATAAAAGACTCGGAGGACATTATTCACACCGCAGCACATACCATTCGTTTATTTACCCGAAAACCGTCCCGACCGTCCCGGTCAATGACTCGCGTTTTAGATGTTTGAGAAATGTCGAAATAATTTTTTTTTTGTTTTAAAGTGAAATCCTTGCTAAACATAAGGTGGACAACCCCTTGGAGATCCTTCACCGGTGGTCATCAACCCTGTTCCTGGAGATGTACCTTCCTGAAGACTTGAGCTCCAACCGTAAACATGCCCAACTGACCCGTCTAATGGGTTAGGGTTAGGGGTTTTTTCCCCCTGGAGGTGAAACCTGCAGGAAAGTAGATCTCAAGGAAGAAGATGAGCATTAGCAATAAAATCATTAACATTTTAGAAGACTTATGTCTTCTTCTATGCACCAGAAAGTTAAAAAAAACCAGAACGTAACCTTGTTTTCTGTAGGGAGTTCGTTAATTAGCCAGCTTGGCCTTTAGAAAGCCAGTGTGACCCTGTAAATACTTCGGAGGACACGGTACATGCAAACATACACACTTCAATTTTGAATCTTCTAAAGAAACTCTCAGCTGCTGTACTGTACGTGTAATGAATGAAATAACGTTTGGGGCGGAGATTAATAAAGGTGCTAAAATCATGGTCTTGCCACCTCGTGTGCCGCACACAAACATTTCCCAAGGGGACACCGGTTTTCGTTCTCTGTCTTCTCACCTCTCTTTCTGCTGTTGTTATGGATGTGACACGTTCACCACGATGTTCTCTCTTGCACGGCGCCTGCCATAAATAAAACCCGCAGGGTCTTTTGCTAGAGTCGATAGCTCTTTATCCTTTTATCGATGTTTCTGCTGCTTTTCTTTTGCAGTGCGCTGAATAGTGCAGAGCGGTATAGTCTTCGTGGGGAGAATGAAACAGATTCAAAGAGAAGATTTGCTGTTCGCTGTAGTCTGGGGACAAAAAAAAAAAAAAAAAAGAGAAAGATCCATTTTGCTAACTGAGGAGAATGTGTGTTTTTTGGGTTTCGTGTGCATGCCTGAAAGAGCGGGATGGATGGAGAGAAACTTGGATATTCTGCAGTGTAACTTGTGCTGAAACAGATATAATTACTGTCTTGTTGGAAGATACTGATAGCCACCTGCTCTGTTGCTTCCACCCCTCCATCTGTCCATTCTTTCAGTCACTACCATGGTTTCTCCTTCTGTTCTCATTGGAGCATGGAGCATAGTCCTGAAATGTGTTGGAATGGGCTGCAGAAAAGTATGTGATCAGTTTATTAAGATCATCTAGAGAGTGAAACATGGCTTAGCACTTACCCAGTTCATGTCTAAAATGATGTAAGAAATAAGACCAATCTGTGAGGCTGAGAAACCCAAGTTCTTTATTGATGTCAAGACTGGGGATGTATGGACTAAAGCTGGGATTGGGGGGTTAATAAACAATGTTGTGATTAGTGATATACTGACCTGCACTGGGACGGGAGCAGTACGAATCAAAGTAGATCTTGCAATATTATGGGTAATGATCTACACTGGGATTGAGGGCGGCATTGATGGACGCCGGGACTGGGGGCGGCATTGATGGACGCCGGGATTGGTGGTGGCATTGATGGACGCCGGGATTGTGGGCGGCATTGATGGATGCCGGGATTGGTGGTGGCATTGATGCACGCGGGATTGGTGGTGGCATTGATGGACGCCGGGATTGGGGGTGGAATTGATCGACGCGGGATTGGGGGTGGAATTGATCGACGCGGGATTGGTGGTGGAATTGATGGATGCCGGGACTGGGGGCGGCAGTGATGGACGCGGGATTGGGGGCGGCATTGGGGCGGCATTTTACTATTTCCTTTTTATACCCTCTTCTTCTAAAACAATTGTGAAGCACTTTGGGCAACAAAGTTTTTAAATGTGCTATATAAATAAATAAAAGTTGAAGGTTTCTCTCCCCATGACCACCATTAGACTAAAAGCCCCTATTACACGGCACATCTGTTGCAATGACTTTCTTGTTGATACAAACTGGCAATGCTTTAACAAGCATTAGTAGATTCTCAGAGTGAGTAAAATCCCTGGGATGTGCAACATGTTTTCTTTTTTCTAGAACATCAAGGCCAGGAACGTAGAGTGAAAGCTGCTGCAGGTATAAGAAACCTTAGTTGTACACAATTAAGCAGCTGCTGGGGTTAAGGATATGGGAAAGCTGATTCTGTGAGCCAGAGATTTGGGTATGTGGAGAAATAGTAGCATTATGACTCTGAAGTACATTATAATAAAACGCACTGTAGTTTATAACTTGTAGAAAATATTGTGAATTGCGCAAGGATGTGTTATTGAGCTAATGAGTTCAAACACTGAATGCAGCGTTTCACTGGGAGAGCTTTATTAATACTTCTATAAGATGTGTGTACAGACTCCTCCTGAGTCAGAGCTGACCATTCCTGAGTGGCTCATTCAAAAACAGGATGAAACATTAACCATCGTGACGAAGACACGAGTGTCGAGCATGATCGATGCTGGGATTGAGGAGGAATTGATTGATAAGATTTTGAAAGTACTGATTCATGCTGTGGTCGGTTGGTTTGATTATGTGTTCATTAAGTATTTTGGAGAGTGTGTTTGGACTCGGAGCTGACCTTTGCTAAAGGTAAATCCAAAAGCCAGTATCGGCATGTTGATATTGCGGTAGTATTGAATGGTGTCAGGATAACAGAGGACAGTCTTGATCACTGCTGATCCTGCTGATAGAAGGTGGTATTGATAAAAGCTGGGATTGGGGCAGTGGTACTGATAAAAGCTGGGATTGGGGCAGTAGTATTGATAAAAGCTGGGATTGGGGCAGTGGTATTGATAAAAGCTGGGATTGGGGCAGTGGTACTGATAAAAGCTGGGATTGGGGCAGTAGTATTGATCGAAGCTGGGATTGGGGCAGTAGTATTGATCGAAGCTGGGATTGGGGCAGTAGTATTGATCGAAGCTGGGATTGGGGCAGTGGTATTGATCGAAGCTGGGATTGGGGCAGTGGTACTGATAAAAGCTGGGATTGGGGCAGTAGTATTGATCGAAGCTGGGATTGGGGCAGTGGTATTGATCGAAGCTGGGATTGGGGCAGTGGTATTGATCGAAGCTTGGATTGGGGCAGT